CGCGCAGCCCGGCGCGGGGGCGGCCGCCGTCGACGCAGACACGGCCGCGCTGATGCTGCCCTTGGGCCCCGCCGCCGGCAGCAGCGTCGCGCACCCGGCCGCCGCCACCGCCTCCTCGGGCGAGCACGCGCCGTCGTCTGGCGCGCGGCTGTACGACTTGCTGCGCCACTTGCCCATGGCGCGCCGGAGCACGTTGCGCCTGCAACAAGACACGCCGCCGCCGCACGTCACTCCGCAGCTCCTCAGCTTTCAAGTACAAAGTAGGGTGGAGTGGGGAAAATGTGTACCTCATTTTTTTTATGTGAGAATATGATAACTAGCGCTCCCTAGTGATCGTAAATTGTACCAATGTGAAGATGAAACTTTGGAAGCAAAACACAAACAACAAAATGTCTTAACTGCCCCTCCCCCCTTAATAGAAAAAAAAATAATATAAGTTTTGTTCGTCATGAACTGCTCTTTTGTACATTTTTTCCCAACATCAAAATTATGAGATCTTAAATCAATCCTAAGCACGGTATGCATTTGCTCCACAGTGTGTGTGTAAATGTGTACTTAAGAGGTTGTTTAAGATTACTTTGATAAAATCATGAAGAATAAATTTTTTAAACGCGTAAAGGGTGATTTACAATGTATAACGACAGTCTTAGAAAATAAAATTAAAAATGTGTATTGTTTCCGACGAAGTTGGCTTTTGCTGAAGATAGTACGGAATTACCCCACTCCAGCTTATACAATAAGTAGGTCATCAAATAGGTATATAGAAGTAAATCGACAACAAACTCAAGATTTTCATACTGACGGTTCCGAAAGTGATACAACATATCCTCTAAAGAAATATTTTGAAGATTAATGAAACAAACAATACATTCCAAACAATGACGACCGAGGTAAATATTAATTCTAAAGACCCTGAAATCTTTTCGTAGTAGCTGAAAAACTCTGCTACGAAACTTGTCATCTCTTCCCTACCTCAAGAACAGACGCAATGTGGTCCCATTCATCGTTCCACTCGCGTTCCCCGTAGATAATCATGTCGTTACCCAAAGTGGCCGGAAGCGTCTAACTAGAGGAATACGGAGGCTTTTGATTCATGAGTCGATTCCCACCTCCGATGTCACGGATACATTCGTCTGCGCTCCATCCGCGCTCTGGCGCTATTTATCGCCAAACCACAATCTTCTGCGAACAGAAGAATTGCCAGGACAACAGCCACCGATTGCATGAAATGTGGCGGAACGAATCGAAAGAAATCGTTCCCGCCGGATACAGATACGGGTTGCGAACACAATAATCTGTATGCTACGAGATTTATCTCCACGACTGCTGTGGAATTTTATGAAAGAACAGCTGAAGTCAAGAATGATTCCCCTCTTTACACCAATTGATAAAAATAAGTTTTTTTTGTTGTAATTATGTGACTTTCACTGGTTTTACTAATACACTATAGATGCGTTGTTGGTTACATTTAGAGCACCATAGCACGCATTCTGACAAACCTTCATTTTAAATATTGATATTTCGGCAAAGAAATATGATCAGAGCTAAAAGCTATTTTTCTCGGATTCATTTCGAATACTTGGGTTGTATGAATTTAAATAACTTTCGCACGTTCATACTAGACTTATTTGTTACAAAGTACTTAAAAAGGCAAGAGCCTAGAGTGAATGAAATCATAGGCTAATGCAATCTTCTGTACATATCCCCCCGAATATGTGTTACACGCAACACTACTGATTGTAAAAGTGACCGGTGAAGTTATCACAGAGGATTACCTATGAATGAACAAGCTAAAAAAAAAGGCTTGTTCAGCCAGCTTTTAAGAGGGAACACGCCAAGGCTCATTTTAATCCACCGCGAACCAGATTACGCGGTCATGCGCAAGAGCGAGCTTGATTTCCAGAATCCTGCTACACATTACGAAGGTAATAACCACATATTACCATAAAATATTGAGAATTTGAGAGGCGTGAGGTTGAGAGGTATTCAGACCGGTGGTGATGGCCACGATCAGGCAAAGCGAAGTCGCAGAAACGTCACAACATTCTGAAAATTGCAGCGTCGCAAAAATCTTCCGTTTCCCGAAGCCAAGAGAGACAGATGTGGAGAACGAAAGAACGGACTGTGGTAAAGTAGAAGAAATGGGAGA